AATGATAACAGAAGTTTAGATAAAATACGCTTCCATACATAAATAATCATTATTATAACTCCCGGGAGTGTAAATAGTAATCGGGATGTCCGTCTGTTTGTACGTCCGTCTGTTACGCTTTGGGGTACCAATCTCTTAACTGCAACTCATCTCATACCATTGGATGAAATTTGATGAGACTTTCAAAGAAACTGTAGTACATATTTCCATTGTGCACCTCTTATATTAGAAAGGATGCTCTTTTAATTTAATAATTGTTACTGACTACATGTAGTTATATACACATTGTAGGTTCTTTCTCTGATCTCTACAGAATGGAAAATATACCCAGGGGTAAGACTTTTTATGTTTTGGTTTGTTTTCTTCTATAAATTTCCCTCGATTTACTTTACATACTAACTAGTTGATGGATTATGAAATCAACTAATTGTTAAACTTTCATGATCTAAGTAAATTTAAAGTTTGATTACTCAATTGCATTCCCGAATTTTTTGAAATATTTAACTTACGAGGGTTGTCCCAAAAAGTCGTAGACAATGTTAATAACTTTTTTAACATGCAATCAATACTAACCAAATTTTGCATAGACATAATACATCCAATGTTCTTTAAAATTGTAAATTCTTAAATATATATCTTTGATATTAATTATATTGGGACAATTTATATGAAGGCCGATATGGGCTGTCGGTGCACGACCAAAATACGGAATAATTTACGCATATAACTTTTACATTTGTTTTTATTTCTTTGGTAATATGTATAAGATTGAACTAAAATTTAAATCACTGAAACCAGAATCAAAATCTTAATAATATGTCAAATTTTCATATAAATAGCCTTAGGTACAGACGACTGGTGGCATGATTTTCAAAGTGTTGTTCGAATTGAGATTGATGAAAATGACGTCGTCGAACGCGTACCCGGCGCACGGAAATGTAAAAAAAAAATTTTATGTTCATCACAGACGGGAAAAAGAGTACCGAAAGGACATTACACATTACATTTCAATAGAAAATTTGTTTTTTTTATAGTACGAGATTCGAAGATAGTTTTTCCTCTATATAAAAAAATTAGTTATTGCATGTAAAGTAGAGTACTGATTGTTTAATACAGACATTTGGGAACTTTCTGGGCAACGAACGTCGTCAAACAAGGTGTATTCTCTGCTGCCTAAAATGTGAGGTGATCTTTCAACTAATTTAATTTTGACTAAACTTGAATTTGCTTAAGAAAACAGACAGTAGTGAATTTAAAATATTCCCTTAATCAGGAGTGGTTATTCACTATAAATAATATTTATTTGGATGTTAATAGCCTCATGTGAAGCAGAAAAGGGGACAATGAACGTTGTGAGAGATGTAAATTACGCTTGCTTTCGTGAGCCGATGTACACTTACATGGTTTCTTTATTTTGTCATAGTTTTCTTATCAAATGTGGTACCGTCATGAAACTTGAAATACGTGATGTTACTCTTTGCTATGACAAGAAAAGAAATTTGATTTAGCAAAGAGAAAATAAACTATGTTCCCTGTCTACGACTTTTTGGGACAACCCTCGTATATTAGCCACAGTTAACCCAATTTAACTGGAGTACATATAAATTACATATTAAAGATAATGTAAACTTTGGATATAATTTAATACAACAATAGTGTTTCCATTTAATTAAAGAAAACTACATTTCAGAAAAAAAAGATTAGAAGTCGCATTTTAGTGCATTTTGTTGCAGCTTATATAACTTTTACAGTTTTAAATGCGTTTAAAATTTGCGGTATTAAGAATTCCTTTTTTAATGTCTGCATGATATTACAGTATACATGTACATGATGTAGTTTAGACCTCTTTAATGTATTTTTAATATTGCTACGTATTTTTTAAAATATTTATACATGTAAAGCAGTATATAGATATTTGTTAATATCGGAATTTTGCAAATGCACGTATTTAAATATAGAAGTTTGGCAAAAATTCAGAACAAAAAAGCCATAAACGTTTACTTAGATTAACGATTCATAAAATGTTTACATTAATGTGAAAGAAAAACATTAGTAATTGTTGTTATTTTCCATTTTATGTGGTAAATTGTACATTACATGTAACGTCTTCATTAACTTAACAAATTGATACATGTCATTAATCAATTGTTACTTGACATTGAAAAAATCTTAAGGAATCAATCATTTTTTATGTATAAAAAACGCATACAAATTACGAGGCACAGAAGTATGAATTGAGACTAAGTCACTAAATTAAAAAAAGAAGTAAATTATTAATTCTAAAATTCATATTTTTGCCTGCTTAAGGTGATGCTATTATCATCAACAATGTAAATTATGGAGGTTCGAATATACGAAAAGGAAGTGATTCAGATGCAGGTAATGTTATGCATTCAATTTGATATTAATTCTTAAACCTACAAATTCTCAAAATATATATATCATATGAAAACTTTGTGAAGTGTTTCTTGCCTATCTGTTAGTGTGACTGATTGAGAGGGGATACACTTTTACAGAGCCTGATCTCACCTCTTTTAGCTCACCTGAGCCGAGCGCTCAAGTGAGCTTTTCTGATCACAATTTGTCCGGCGTCTGTCTGTCCGTCTGTCTGTCTGTCTGTCTGTCTGTCTGTCTGTCTGTAAACTTTTCACATTTTCGACTTCTTCTCAAGAACTGCTGGGCCAATTTCAACAAAACTTGCCACAATGCATCCTTTGGTGAAGGGAATTCAAGTTTGTTCAAATAAAGGGCAACGCCTTCATTCAAGGGGAGATACATGTAATTGAGAATTAGTGATAATTTGGTGGTATGTTTTAAAAATCTTCTACTCAAGAACCACTGTGCCAGGAAAGATGAAACTTATGGGGAAACATCCTCAGGTAGTGTAGATTCAAGTTTGTTCAAATCATGACCCCCGGGGGTAGGGCGGGGCCACAATGGTCAACAAAAATTTTATATAGAAATATATAGGAATTTTTTGTTTTAAATCTTCTCAAAAACAGCAATGTCATAATTGCTCACATTTATGTGGAAGCATACCCAGGTAGTGTAAATTTAAGTTTGTTCAAATCATGACCCCCGGGGGTACGGCGGGGTCACAATGGCCGACCAAATTTTTTATATAGAAATATATAGGAAAATTCTTTAAAAATCTTCTTCTCAAGAACAGCAGAGCCATAATTGCTCATATTTATATGGAAGCATGAGCAGGTAGTGTAGATTCACGTTTGTTCAAATCATGACCCACGGGGGGTAGGACGAGGCCACAATTTCCAACCAAAGTTTTATATAGAATATATAGGTATATATCTTCGCAAGAACAGCAGAGCCATAATTGCTCATATTTATTTGGAAGCATCCCCAGGTAGTGTAGATTCAAGTTTCTTCAAATCATGACACCCGGGGGTAGGGCGGGGCCACAATGGCCAACTAACGTTTTATATAGAAATATATAGGAAAATTCTTTAAAAATCTTCTTCTCAAGAACAGCAGAGCCACAATGACCCCCGGGGGTAGGGCGGGGCCACAATGGCCGACCAAAGTTTTACATAGAAATATATAGGAAAATTCTTTAAAAACCTTTTCAAGAACAGCAGAGCCATTATTGCTCATATCTATTTGGAAGCATGCCCAGGTAGTGTTGATTCACGTTTGTCCAAATCATGACCCCAGGGGGTAAGACGGGCCACAATGGCCGACCAAAGTTTTATATAGAAATATATAGGAAAATTCTTTAAAAATCTTCTTCTCAAGAACAGCAGGGTCATAATTGCTCATATTTAAATGAGAGCATCCCCAGGTAGTGTAGATTCAAGTTTGTTCAAATCATGACCCCCGGGGATAGGGCGGGGCCACAATAGCCAACCAAATTTTTATATAAAAAACATATATGGAAAATTCTTTAAAAATCTTCTGAAGAACAGCAGAGCCATATTTACTCACATTTATATGGAAGCATCCCCAGGTAGTGTAGATTACAGTTTGTTCAAATCAATCCCTGGGGGTAGGGCGGGGCCACAATGGCCGACCAAAGTTTTACATAGAAATATATAAAAAAAATTCTTTGAACATTTTCTTCTCAAGAATAGCAAAGCCATAATTGCTTATATTTATATGGATGCATCCTCAGGTAGTGTAGATTCAAGTTTGTTCAAATCATGACCCCTGGGGGAAGGGTGGGGCCTTACTTTTGGATTTAAACTTTTCAATAGTAAACCAATTTCTACTTTTTCCTAGCCACCAGGCTCGGGTGAGCGATGTGGCCCATGGGTCTGTTGTTTTAAAGGTCCCAGTTTTCCGCTGCTCACGGTTTGCATTGTTTATATGGACTTTTCAGCATGGTCTTTGTTGGATATATTCTCCTTTATTTCATTGCATGATTTTACTTAAAGAAGCCATTAAATAGTTTAACAAATGAAACACCTTGATCAAATAAAACCTGAAAATTTAAAACCTGGCTATCTTGAAGGCCACAGACCTAAGACGATGAAAATAACACATGTTTATTTGCTGGGCATTTTAAAACTAAAGTGTTAGTCTCAAATTTATTTTTTTTTCTGAAAAAGAAAACTTCTCTATAGGATAAAGGTAACGAGCTTGAGATGAAAGTGAGAGAGTAGAGTGGTAAACAAATTTATGAATGTACACGTATTTCTTCAACTGCCGAATTTCAGCGAATTCAGGGAAGTCCCATTCTAGCATCTCCATTATTTCTCTATGAATTTTGAAGAAATATGATCATGAGAAAAAGTACTTTATTTTTGCATTGATGTACGAAACGAAATTGCATATTGGATAAAATAACAGAAAGGACAAAGGACAGCGCCAGCAACAACCAGCTTCTATGCCGCAACACTGGTTTTTACAGAGGACATTATTATGATGTTTTCTTTCTTTTGTTTTCTTTAGAGAAACTTACAAAGATATTCCACGACGTTGATTTTAATATTTCAATGAAAAGAGATTTGGAGTCCCATCAAATATTTGATGAAGTACGAGAAATGTCATTAAAGGACCATAGTGAGTCTGATGCATTTGTATGCTGCATATTAGCCCATGGCTCAGAGAATGCTGTGTATGGAATAGATCGGAAGGAGATACAAATTCGTGATGTTATCAACCTATTCATTGGAACTCATTGCAAAAGTTTGGCTGGAAAACCCAAGCTGTTCTTAGTTCAAGCTTGTCAGGGTGATAATGATCATATTAGTAAGTTCATAATTCAGGTAAAGAACCCAAATAATGATTGTTTCCCCGGACGCCTTGCTCTTCAGTTCCCCCCCCCCCCCCCCCCCCCCCCCCCACACACACAGTAAGGAAGGGTCTCGCCCTAGAGTCATTTCCCAAAAAGTATAGGAAGAATAAACTAACTAAGATGGAAGTCTCATTTTCGAACCTTACTTCCCAAAATGATTTGCTGTAGAGAGATAGGTTCCTTTTGGGGAGATCCCACTCCAGTGCCATGTTTCCAAAATGAGGTCTTACTCTTGATTAAATTATATCCTATCAATCAAGGTAAAGTCTAAATTTGTCATCTATTAAAGGGGAAAGAAAAAAAACTCATGGCATGCTGTCTTTTTAACTATTATTTCAAACAATATTAGACTTATGATAACGGTGTATACTTCTCTAAATCATACAGAATACTGCTAAAAATTTCATAGTCAAATATATCGACGATAAACGAAGAAAGTATTACACACATAGATTAATAAGATAGTCTGACGGATGTAAGTACAGCTAGACAGTCAAACCAAATTGATTAATTCCACTCTCTGTGAAAGCGGAGGCAATTAATGCACTGCAGTGAAGGTTTGGCATCTCCTATCCTATAGAACTTATGAATTTTTAATAGTGCTGACTTTTACAGTTGACAGCTTATTTTTACACTAGAACAATGTACGGAAGCTTTTTTACGATATAAATTTTGAGTTCAACATTTAATTCAACCAAATAATGTGTTATTTCAAAGTGTCAATCAGTTGTCCTGAAAGAAAACGACAACAACCCTATCCTCAACTCCTGGTCCCCCACGTTAGTGCCCTTAACAACATAAGGGACAGTACCATTGACCACTAGAAAGGTGTTCTTATCTATAATCAATTCCGTACCTCCATACAAGATGCATGTTTAAATGTCCAGTAAGCCCTCAAGTGTGAAAGTCAGTGCTTCTTGTAAAATTCCAATAAAAGACATTTTCGGTTGGGAGAATTTCTACAGAACTATCTATTATGGACACAAAGTATGGAAAATCTACATGGAAAACAAGTGCAATTATGGAATAAATGATAAAACTAACTGTTAACTTTTAAATGGCGTATATTGTTACAGCCCAAGAAGTATGCAGTGCCACGTTTAAGTAACATTAACGAAAGAAACACACGTTTTTCAAATAACTGCATACCACTTGCGCATAAAGTTTTTTCAAAATCACATGAGCGGAAGTGAATTTAAAAAAGATATTTGACTTAGCTCTAGACATTTGCAGTTTAATTAACATGTCTAGAATTCGTTTCAATTTTTTCAATTTTTTTTTTCTATAAAAATATTTATTCGAATGTAAAATAATAAAATTATGTTGTTTTTTCTCTCAAAACTGGAAGATCTCCTTTTTGTTTCCGATGCGAATGACATAGTTCAAAACTACTAATGAGATACAGTACAATACGCAGCATTGTTAAGGCTTGAAAAAGGGGGCGGGGCGTAATTTATTCGGGAAAAGTTTACTGTGACGTCACACAAAAATATGACTTAACAATATAACTTATCAATGCATTTTAAAAAGTTGCAAGTTAAATTGCATGTAGCTCGTTATAAACAAAGCACAGATCGCGATGAACTTGTATACATGACCTCATATTGGTAAAAATGACGTATTTCATGTTCTATGAGAGGCAGATTGAGGATTTTTTTAACAATGAAAAATGCGTTTTATTATTTAACGGAATATTATTTACGAGTTTTAAATAGTCCATTAATACCAATATACATCTTTTGTTTAGTGCAGTTATTAATTAACTACCACGAGAATGTATTTTATTACTTATGTCGTGTTTTTATGTACAGGTTACGTATATTTTACATCAAGATGCCTCATAAAATCGTACTTTCGCAAGGGCATACACTGCATAGATCTGAACCATTTTTTGAATAAAGATAAAGGATTTTTTCCTTAACTTGAAAAGTGCTGCTGCTTTCTTTACACAAAATATTTGGTAAAATTCAAACATATTTCGACATTGGCCTATTTACTTGAAATGTTAACTATTAAAACGCGAATTCTATTCAAAGCAGCAGCACTTCTCAGAAACTACAAAGTATGCAGAAACAATTAATAGCTTGAATTCTTAATTTAAACTAGGATATACCCTTGCGATATTGAAATTTGTTAATGACCTACATTCAGTACACAAACTATGCATTTATCACGTGACTCTCCATCGATGGGACTAAACTTCATACAGTACAGAGTGGGTTATACGACCCTATTTCCATAAGTATTAAAGTTCTGTGATAATAAAACAGCTTAATTAAAATAAATTGAATTTTTAAAAAGTCCACCTTTTTTGCACCTCTATTTTCCATTGATTTCTCATAATAGGCCTTAACAGTGCTGCGTAAGATGATTAAAAAAAGATTAAAAACGAAAAGTTGAAAGGACTTTCTATGATAAGAGTCATTTTGGTCACCTTAAAATCAACATTCTAGAAAATTTTAGAATGATATTCATTATTGACTTATTTTGTAGAAGATATTTTATTGATGAGAATTCTAATACTTTTTTTTTTTTACATTTATTTGCACGTAGAGGCTTGAAATAGTATCAGAAATTATGCTATTTTTGCTATCCAACCAAATCAAGACAAAGATGGGCTTTTTATTGGCTTGTTTTTCTAATGGGAAATATAGAGGGAAGCTGTTATTTTTTTTTTTCTGATAGTTATAGGCCTTGTAAAGATACATATTAGTTAAAATAATAAATTTGTTCTAGTTTGCACTGAATATTTCCTGAAAAAAGAAAAATTAAGCATTTTTATATAACATATGTAAAAATGTCGCGAAACTTGAACTTTAATATATTTTCAAAAAAAAAAAAATGGCATTTTGATCAAATTGAAAATTACCAATACGGTCAAATCTTAAACCATGCAAATTAAAACTTTATATAAAAAAATTGGATATTCATTTTAAAGGGCAATTTAAGACACATCATGTATTGCTCTTTTCGATTTCTATTATCATTTTCTTTTACGACCGGAAGTGACGCCTGTAGTATTTATCCCTTTATCTTTTACTTACTTATTAAAAATTATTAATCGTATAAGTTTGGTGTCTTGTTCTCTTACCCTCTTCGAGATCTCGCTATGATAACCTCTCATTTTTAGCAGAATAAATCACGCCATCGGAGGTAAAAACATACCCAGAAATCATATCAAACACATTTCTATAAATTATTTTTTAGGGGGGGGGGATTGAAATCATGTAGTTTTTCCCTCATAACCGGAATTTGCAGCCTTTGTTTCCGGTGGGACTGACATATTTCGATACAACTACTGAGATGCTAAAATGTGATGCAAAAAAAAAAAAAAATAGAAAATTCGAGTTTTCCATGGGCAGGGTAGAATAAAAGTACATTTGAACTATTATTAGTAAAATTCAGCAATATTTAGAAGTGCCCCACCCCATAAGAACCTCTGACCCTTGGTTCACATATTTCAAAATTTTGGAAAACGCAGCACAGTTAAGATTAAAGTAAGGAGGCGGGGACTGATTTGTACGGGGAATATTTGATATGACGTCACACATAATATAAGGTCTTCAAAATAACATTAAATGAAATTATTTGCTATTCCATACAGCTGGATAGCTGTATACTACATACAAACGTACAATTACCTGCATTTTTGTCGTTTGTTAAATCCCACGCAAAAGTATATAAACGATGCATCGATCGCAATGCACTTGTCAATGTGACGTCATCTCGCAAAAATGACGCAGTTTGTACACAGTGAGAGGCTTATCAAGTCACATTTTGTACAATTAAAAATTATCTTTTGTTCTCAAATAAAATATTTTTTGCAATTAAATAAAAGACTGTTAACTTGGATGCGATGTCTGTTTTAGTATTTTATTTATAAACTGTCCGTTCTTTCTCCAGACAAGTGATTCTGTCGTGTGTTTGTATGCAGATTCATTGAAAAAGTAATGGAAGGGCCCTAATAAATCGATTTATTGCAAGGGCATAACCTCCATGTATCTTGTCAAGTTTTTACATATAAACTCAAGAAACATTAAGATATTTGAAAAGTGCTGCGAACCTCATGAACTCGTGCAAATAAATTAAATATAGCTATATTCAATGTAGCTGACCAGCAAAATATTCAACCTACCGTCCAACAAATTAAATTTTAGCAATTTAAAAAAGAAAACTATATAGGTTCACAAACTACATATAGTGTTGAAAAGGATCATAAATTAAACTAAGATTTTTAACTTGGTTATACCCTTGCAATATTGGATCCCCTTTGGGATCCGGGTTAGAAAAGGTCTTCAGTACCCCCTTGCTTGTCGTAAAAGGCGACTAAATGGGGCGGTCCTTCGGATGAGACCGTATAAACCGAGGCCCCGTGTCACTGCAGGTGTGGCACGATAAAGATCCCTCCCTGTTCAAAGGCCATAAGTGCCGAGCATAGGGCTAAATTTGCAGCCCTTCACCGGCAATGGTGACGTTTCCATATCAGTGAAATATTCTGGAGAGGTACGTTAAACAGTATACAATCAATCAATCAGCAATATTGGAATTAATAGACAGCCTCTAAACTGCAAGTATAATTGCTAAAATTATTTGACCTCGACATCACGTGACAAGTGTTAAAAAAAATCTAAATGTTCCCAACATGTTGATTTAAACCACATTACCATTTTTAATATCAGTGAAGTCCTAAAAAGTATCACCCATCTTAATAAAGTATGTGTTATTTATCTTTAAAATATCGCCAATATTTCCATTTGTAACCTTAACTGTGCTGCGAAGGGTTATGATTTATACAAAGAGGCATATTAAAAAACAGCAATTTATTTTCTGAATATAATTAGAGTCTCCGCCTTTTATGGTACCACGGACCCAGAAAGTTCATCTGCTTATAATTTATACACATGGACAGAGAAGATTTGCAAAGATGAAGTGTATTTTACTTTAAAATTTTATATTCCCGCTCTTACACCAAAACCCCTGATCCATGAAAATCGAGATATTGGAAGAGACACGATTCTTCATCATAGCAATATTTGTAGTAAGCTTATTTAAAACCAAGGTGCAGAGAAGATCATGTTTAAAGTAGTCATGCATTTTCATTTTATAAGCAATTGAGCCCTACTCTTACACCTGAACCATTAACCGAGGGCCCGAAAATTCACAATTTTTGAAGAAACACACCTTATTCTCATCATAACTTTACATGAATTTTTTTTTTGTTTAATCCCCAGGAGCAGAAGGGAAGATTTACAAAGAATTACTGCATTTTCACTATATAATCTATATAGCTCCTCTCTATCACTACATATAGAACCAATGAACATGGGACTACATGTATGTATTTTGGTAAATTTCTCAATGCTTACTACAATCGGGCAAACAGATTGACAGTTGACGGACGCACAATGACAGACGAAAACAGATAGCAACAAATCACCATCACACTGGATGTAAAATAGTGACCTAAAAATTAGTTATCAACAAGTAACAATTTCAGCATATATTTTCTTTGAACATGTTTAATGAACATTTAAAATTTACTACAGTGGTGCGAAGTCATCGGGACTATGTAGCTGATGGGATTAAATATGTGCCCAACGAAGCTGATATGTTGTTAGCTCTCTCAACAATGCCTGGCTATTACTCATATAGGAATGAGATTCTCGGTAGCTGGTTTATCCAATCGTTCGTCAAACATTTCGCTGAAAACTACAAAAAGTAAGTTATTTATTGAACTATTAAATTGATAAAAAGTAGAAATGACTTGGGTAAAGATGAGATAATTAATTTTTTTTGTACTTTTAAGAAGTCATTTTCTTAACTTTGATGAATTATTCTTTACTGAATACATTCAAATATTACTGAAATTTGCATTGCATAGCTAGAAAGCAATTCAATTATTTTTAACATTAATTTCAGAAAAAAAAATATTTTGAATTATATGACACTACGTTTTCTTCGTTTAATTAAAACTGGGTGTGAATCTATGTTAAAAAATGTGTTTCCCGAAAAATGCACTTAACTATCAGCATTGCAGACATAATTTTTCATGAGAATTTCTTTCTTTCAGTACACACCTTTTGGACATCCTAACTTTGGTATCGTGTGACGTATCAGAACGCGGACAAATGCCACTTGTAATCAGTACCTTGCCCAAACATCTGTATTTTTGACATAAAAAAGTGACTGATATTCAAATGATTCTTCCAAGAATAAAAAAAAAGACTTTTATTCAAATGTATATTATTTATACTCCTCTTCTACAATTTAAGCTTTCCTGTAAGCACTAATTCCTTTGGACGTGATTAAAAAGGAAATTTAGCTTTTGTTAACGGATTTTAATTTAGCTTAGCATAAATTACAATGCAAAAGGTCTGTCTTTTCTGCAAAAGATGTTATCATATTTATACACATGTATTACGGATGCCAATCGAATACAGAATTAATACTCGGTTCACTGCAAGTTTTTAGGACGTTCAGACGGAAAAACCAGTAAACTGTATCAAAATACTGTAAGTTTCTCTGATGATGTACATACTTTTTTTCTTAAGTATTCTTCTCATATACAAGAAGTCCTGTTAAAGTCTAGATAATAAATCTATATATTTTTCTTGACACTTGATATTTAATAATTCTAAATAATTCTAAATAAATAATATAATAGTCACACTTTTGTGTACATGTATATATTAAATTTCAGTTTCAGTATAGACTAAACAAATTAGAGATCTAAAAATCGTGTTTGACAAATCATTAAATTTATAGTCATATCATTATATATTGATATTCAATATCAGTTCTAAGCAGAATTCACATACGTTCTTTCTGTGCGGCCATTGTGAATGGAAGTGAGATACACTTATTTGGACATAATTTTAATTAGAGGATCGTTTACAATACACATTATAATGAAATTAATTTTTATTTATAAAGCACAATTCACAACAACGCTCAAAGTAATATAACTTCCATAATTGAAGAAAAACTGATATAGTTATAAAAATAAATTCACTTTTACATGAATCCCCAATTCTCCCAAATCAATTTCATTATAGCATGTACTGGTACCGATCCTCTAATCAAACCAATACAAACAAAATGGAAGGTTCAGTATGCAACAATAACCAATGACCTCTCACGAGGTTTTTGAACATAAAATCTTGTAAAATCTTGGAGATACTCTTCAACACAACGTCAAATTAAGTTTGTCACGTCAAGTTATTAGAGGATCTTCCCCTCATGTCCAAAACAACTTAGAAGTTCAATAGATCACTGCCTTTTCCCTTTATTTCCTTTTCTTAAGAATAATCTGGCTTATCTTTATACCGAATATTACAACCATTTTAATAATGCCCTCCGTCTTTTCTCTTTATGTTCCGATTTCAGTAGTAATTTCACGTACAGCACGATGGCGGTTAAGTGCATTAACTCATTTTGTCTATGAGAAAAAAATACTTTCCCGAAAAAGGTGACCACACCTGAAATTAACTATACATGGAAGTTTTATTTTCCTTTGATTTCTTGAGCCACCGGAAATTCATTTGCTTATAGCATTTTGCTCATTCCGTATCAATAGTATATGCCTCTAAATCAGAGTTTTCCAGAGATTTTCACAAAATTTATGGCTCGACCGAATTTTGACTTCGGTTAACATTGTTATCCAGTAAATCAATTTAATTCCCACACAGAAGTTAATAATAATGAACATAATTGTCCTTTCATTTGTGCGTTTTTCCTCTCTTCTAACATAAAAACAGGTATATGTAATTGAAATGATAATGAATTACAAATGAGTGAATGTCCTCCCCGATTTTCCAAACATTCATTATGGCGATTTCCATAGTGACACTACCAAAAAGATATGAATTTATTTTTTTGATTAAAATAAACTCAGTAAGTGTTCATTTTTTTCATTTCTAATTGCCAATCACTTTATCTAATACATCAATAAGATATGCAGACATTCCACGAACTTTTGAATCAACCCTTGTGATTTATTGATTTACTGTATATTATTTTTCGGCGGTACTTTTGAGTTATAGAAGAAAATCAATAGGAAAAAATTGATGAACCTGATCAAATTATTCTTTTTCACAAATAATTGCAAGTTTGGCATTACAGGTATCATAATCCAAAAGTCCGTCTAAGCAAAATATGGCACAATGTTTAAAAGGTTGGTTATTGGACCGTAGTTTTTTAAAGTTGACAAAAGACATTTCACTTTTGAAAGGGGGGTAGAAGTTTTCACTTTCTATATTTGGCGCTTTAATCCAAACTCCGCAGCAATACTGAAGACATTCATCTGAAAATAAGAAACACAATGATGACCCTAGAATCAGATTCTTAAAAAACTATATTTTAATTCAACATCCAGACACGTGACGTAATTAGACACATTGATTTATAATTGGGAAAACGAGAATTTGATATTTTTATTCAAATCATTCATTATTACTTAAAGTTTTAATGTATAAACTGCAAACCAAATAATAATGGGTTTAAACAGTTGTGATAATATTTTCAAATTCCCAAATTCTGAAAATAAGGTTTTATTTTCATAATTATGGTTTTATTTATTTGTAGGTTATAAATATCTTTCGATATTAGTGAAAAAGCTGGTACAAAAATTGGATTAATTACTCTTTTTTGACCAAAAAACCCTGCATGTGATCAAAAAGAAATCTTAATTCCCATCATGCATATAACGATGTTCAATAAAAAGTATCAGGAAATCGAAAAATGTGGTTGAGTGATCATTGAAGTCTAACGTTTTAAGTTGGAAACGTGAAAGACTCCGAGGTAAAAATGTTGTTTTTTGCATTGTGATGACTATAACTTTTCTATCGTCAACTTCCATTGCTTATGCAACAATAGACCTTCATCATCTGCATACGGATTTATATCTCTCGGTTGATTCGGTATGCAAAAGGATGCTCTACTTAAAAACATTTTTTAAAACGATGAAAATCATTGACAAAGAAGCTGATGAAACAAAAATATCAACGTACTTATCTATCAGTTTGTAAGTTCTGTGGACGATACAATGACCTGGTCAGCAAATAAAATTGATGATTGAGTCAAATGCTGACTGATAGTTTTCATTATAACCGTTTGTCCACGATTCATAGATTAAATTGACGGCCGATATTTTCGTTATGTCAAGATAATGACAAGGAGCACAGTGTTACCGGTCGGCAGGGGATGTTCACTTCTCCATGGCACCTGATACCAACTCTTATTGTTAGGATATCCATGTTTGCTCTGCCCCTATTTTGTATTGGTTTAAGAACATTGATATTGAGTACTGTTTGTTATCTCCATATCCATCTTTGAAGATATATTATTCACCAAAAAACAAAACAAAACAAAAAAAAAACAACAAAAAAAAAAAAACAATCGAATTGCCTAATTTGGTCGTCTCACATTACCAAGATTTTACATCAATTCTCTGTAAGGACCAAATATGCTTGGCCACGCACTATCATGGAATTTTATTTTATCAATATAATATTAAAGAGTGTCCTATATAAAGACTATAGGTGGGTAAATTTTGGACAGTGCTTCCTTGGTTTCCATAGCAACGGCCTTGAAATATTTTGCCATGGCGAAAATGACCTAATTGTCATCACCATGCAAAATAATTCCATGCTTCTTAAGCATAGAAAAGTTGAGAACGTAACATGGGTCTCATTTTATAGCTAAGTAATCAAAGTTTCTTGGCATAAAAATTTTATTCAATTTAACTCAAGGTTTTTAATATAATACAGATCAATTAACACGAAGATTGTCATAAAATGAATACAAAGGTACCTATTTCTTCACGTGCATAGAAATTTTTGCAGGCAATTTCAACTGAAATAAAAGATTTTTTCAGTAAGATAGAACTTAGATCTAAAAGATACAAAAAGATTTGAGGTGGGTAAATCAGTTAAATGTTGTTTTCCAATCGCCTGAAATCATCACTTTTCATGAAAATTGACCGAGAGTTATTTCCCTTTGCTGACTCTTTTGCACTAAAGACCAGAAATAGTTGACTCTCTTGTCAAAAGAACTTTCTAACAACATGTGGCAAAACAGACACCAGGGTAATAAACAATATGAAAATGATGTATTTTTAACTGTTTAAAAATGGAATTAAGTTGTGAGTGACAAAGTAAATCATCAATCAATTAATGAAAATGAAAGAGACAGGTCTTGTGAAATATTGGAGCAAAATTTATGATGTCTAACGAGAGGGATGGATTCAATCTATTTTGAAAACCCATACGTTATGATGCAAATGGAAGAAAACATTAACAAGCAGTGGATACGGCCACCGGAAATCAATAGGAATGGTTCTACCCTAGGCACAGGTAAAAAATGTAGAGATTTGAAAGCAAATTAACTTACTCCTGAAGATCATATAATAGGAGGAGAATGTAACAGAAGATGTAACTTAAGTTTGTGTGTACGAAATGAAAAAAATTAATACCGGGTATGTGTTTTCGGGTACAGACTACATTGTTGTTTAGTGTGTGTGTGTGTGTGTTATTTATTTTTTTTTTTTTGGGGGGGGGGGCTAAAGTGTATTTAGGGAACAGGGGAAGTGTGTACAAATTAGAGACGGATGCAAACACATGCATATTATAAGGCATTATTCAGTTTGACTGTGAAAAAAAACATAATTTTAAATTTACTTTAGCTATATTTACACACTTTAATAAAATATATAAATAATATGCCCTTGTATATGTATATGTGTATTCATGCAAATTTATTTCATTTAAATAATTGATAATAAATTTATTTTTTTAGATGTATCAATACAGTTCGAACTATGAAAATAAAGATGAAAAGATACACTGAGGATTCATTTTCAGTAAAAAGCAGGTGATAATTTGTCTGGATAAGCATGATAAGGAAATAAACATTCATCATAATTTTAATGCTTATAACTATCTCAGCAAAATTAAATCATTTATTAATGTCATGATTTTTTTTATAAAGTCTTGTGATACAGTAATTAAGAAAAGAATCAAAATTGGTTGTAGAATATACTATGATTGTATTGTTACATTTTAGAACTATGACAATTACAGGAGCATCACCTGTGAAAGGTTACAAATGTTACAAATGACACCAATGAAGGATCTATAAGCAACTGTAAGTACACTTCTACGTAATTTAATACAATTTTCTCAACAGAGTCAACACATGATGTATGATGTATGTTTTAATAAACTTTTTTTCAAAGAGGTTTTAGATTTTTTTTTTTTGTTCTATTAATTGAAAGAAATATACTCTAACCATACTTAAATCACAAGCATTTTTAAAATTAATTTTAGGTACATGATGATGTACCTTATAACTTACAAATATTCAATCAAAATTTGTTCAGGAAAGTTGTCCTTTTATGTACATGATGTACAAATTCATAAATTGAATATGTATAAAACTATTATGCAACTGTACTTGAATACATATACACTGTATATGAAATAGTATGAATATCCCTAACATACATAATGCATATATGTATAATTTATGTATAATTTATGCAAGAAAGTTGCATATAAGGCCTATAAATAACTATAAATAAAGGAACCCTAAATATAAATACTAGTATCCAGTGTACAGCAATGAACTATATATGGTTGCCAGTGATTAGGAAATAATCTTTGTTTTTATTATCTTTTTCTAACACAAAGGTTATATACCAGAAACAGGAGGCAGGTACAAAATTATTAAACGAAGACAGAAAACTTGCAAGTGATCGTGCATGAGAACTGAACACCAGACAGTATTGTTACCAAACAGTATTCTTTTGGGAGGAATTCTATTAAAGAAATTGGGGATCAGATGTTATCTTCCATTAGTTATCCTTAAGATATTTTTGAGGTATTTTTTTTCAAGGTGTAAATACTAACAATTGGTTTAGAATTAAATACATGATAGTGAAAAATATATCAACTTTGTTTTCACATGAAAAATGTTTTAAATAAATAATGATTTTAAATTAAGGTATATAGATGTATGTTTTTTTTTATTCCAGGGAAAAAGTCGAAGATGATTATTTCAAGTGTCACTTTTTAAACCCATTTTCTTCACTGGACAGCCATAACACCACATACAGCAAAACTCGTTTTGTACGAACACGGATATTGTGAATTTACGGATAAAGCGAAGTCATCTTGGATCCCCAACTATATAAATTTGACACATTCCTTATACAGATATAACAAATTACAGATATAGCAAAGTAATTTTGAAGGTCCCCATGACTTCATTATAACTGAGTTTTACTGTAACAGTAAATGTCTGATGTAAAAAAAACTGGTAACATTAAGTCTAGCTGTTTCAACAAAATTGTTATGTAACAATTTTTTTTCTTTTTTACATATATTGACATATAAATACACATTTAAGATAATGTTCAAAATGAAGATTTTCTTGATTAATAATTTTTAAAAAAGACTGTATTAATATAAAAGTTGTTATATGTACATGTACTGTAGATCACATAATTTTTGCAATACCTTATTTTCCCAAAATTGTCATCGACTCTTTTTTTAAATAGACACATTTTTCACAAATTGGTGTCAATACTCTTTTTAATCTCAAGAAATACTATTTTATGTGAGAATTAATTTTCTGAGAGCACAGTGTTTTGTATAATTGTGGGAAAATAATGTTCTCGTGAATAAAACTGATTAACAGAATACACGTGAGTATGTGTATGTTTACGGATTGTTAGTGATATGTTAATGATTTTTTCAATGTGGTGTTAGTTTTATAGTCAATTTAAATTCAACACCTTTTCTCCATTTTGTATATAGTATTTGAAAATATTGATTACTGGGCAAAGTTCCTGTGAAAAGTTTTCAGTATGTAGTTGGTGTTGCAAGGTCTTAAAGATGCATAGTAGTATGTGCCAGTCTAGAATTCTCTTGTTTTTCCTCAAGATAATAGCATTAATGCAATCTTAGAAACTTAATTTGCTTGGTTTCACTGTGTAACTATGGAAACCATAAAAGTTATTTTTTAGAATAGTTTTGCTAACACTTATTTCTTTGAAATCAAACATTTTATTGTTTTTCTTAAGTTGTTACTAAATTTTGGTCAAGTTACGCCTAGAATTATTGAATACTTTGCATTTTCCAGTATTTAAAATGGCTTATAAATATACCCATATTTACCACTGACTTACATGTACATATAATTTTTTAAACATTTTCTGTGTAGTATAAAATTGAAAAAAGGTGTGTATTTTTTGTGAGAATAATTTGTTGGTTTTTCCTAGATTTTATTAAATGTTCAGTAGAGATTTAAAGTAGCCAAAAGGCTCAATTTTCCAAATTTTCTAGCTGTTTCCATGGCAACCAAGATACTTAGCAACCAAATTGTTTATTTGATATTAATTTCTGGTATCAAGTAGTACTAATTGGGAAAGTTTCATCAGAATCAGTGCATGACAAAGAAATCAAATTGTTTATAGAAAATGGCTATTAGAGAGCAAATTTTTGCTAGATTTTGAGTTATCTGCCCTTATCTGTAGGGGATTATAGAAACAATAATAAAACAATTAATTTTGATTTATTTAATTAAATAGCTTTAAAAAAATTGAAACCATTTATCATTCATTTGATTTCTTATATTTATAAGAAAAAACTGTTTGGAAAAGAAATTTTATTAAACAATTAGTGTCTGGTAAAACTTTGAAAAAGAAACAAATTATTTGGCAAAATGGCAATTTTCAAAGTTAAAATATTTTAAACGAATAAAATACCCACTCTACTTTTCATAAAAGTTGAATAAAACTATTATAGTGTTTTTAAAATTTCAGTTGATTTTTTCTCATAGTGCCTGCAATCCTTGATGGACCTCTTGAAAAATAGGGTAAAAATGGCCATTTAGGAAATGTTAGAATTTGGTCATCTTTCAGCCACCAATTGAAGTATTTGCAGTGACATTTAGAATTTTTTTTTATTTGTGTAATATATTGCTCCGAATGTTCTGTTCACATAATGTATTATTTATCTTATGAAAATAAAGATGATTATACCATATGAAATGAATTATACAGCATTTTTATGTGTGAAATCGGCGTAAATGGGACCAAAATCTATTTTTGTCCATTACCATGGCAACCAAGGTGGTAACCTTAATTTTGAATGTTGATTATGTCATACCATATGGGGATTAATCACCTGAAAAAGTTTCATTGAAATCGCTCATGGTGTGTGCCACAGCCCTATAGTAAGATTTTGGTCCTTACAGAGAATTGATGTTAAGGGACACTAACTAAATATAGCTGTCCCTTTATCCTAGGTTCAAACCGGGTAACAAGATGGGTATCATGGACCTCGATTTTTAAGAATTCAAAACTTAAAAGACTCAACTTTCTCTCGTCATTATATCGAGTGTTTGAAGAAGAAACAGTTGACATGTTTTAAAGACTTAAATAGCGGACGGGGATAGAACGCACAACCTTCCGATTACAAAGGGATTTCTCTATATTGTAAGTCCAAAAGTCCAAGAAATTTAAAACTATTCACAAATAAATCAGGTAATGAATCTAACTTTAACCTAAAAGGCCTGATTAAACCCCTCATAATGAGACTATAAGATCAACATCTGTCTTCAAGACGCCAATACAGGTTTCTTGGTAAGATAAAACACTTCTTTGACAAATCGAGTCTTTTTCATGCTTTTAACGATATTTTTGCTCGTTATTATTCATTGTATAGGCCTGGGACAATTTTTTTGATAAATAAAAGTTTAAATAAAATAAAATATAGAAGTTTAAGCAAGGGATTGTGTCAAAACCGAAGCGCTATTAATAAAGCATCTGCCGGTGGATAAATCATACTTTAATCCAATGTATCCCCCACACATATGAGATAAACACAGGTCTAATGATTTCGATAAAGTAGTAAAAAAAGCCTCTTGAAAAAAGGCCACTTGAAGAAGATCAGCTCCATTCTCTTCACATAATTTCTATGATATATTCAAAGATTATTTCTAATAATATCAAAGTAGAAAAGTTCTTATATTCCTTATGTTAATGGGAAGAAACAAAATCAGTTCAATATATGGAAAGTAGATTGTATACACATTATCAACAGTTCTTTGAAGTAGGACAAAATATTCAACGTATGTATGCATGTTTGTTTATTATTCAGCGTTCCTCTTGACACTCACATGGAGACACTACATGTACCACCTGTTGCAGTAGAATATATTTTTTTTTGCTGCTTACTCCTTATTCATGACGATTGCACCGTGAGGGATCTTCGTGCCAGTATCTTCTGCGACACGGAACCTCGGTTTATACTTTCTCATCTGAAGGACCTGTTTCAGCGCCCCAAAGTGGGACTAACTCCTTACTTCGCGACACCAGAACAGACACGCTAACCACTGCACCTCGCGGGCGACAATTCGACATATATGTATTATAAAGTATTTTACCTAGTTATTTATCCCTGGATAAATCTTGTGTACTTTGTCTGGAGATCGTACCCACCATTGAATTAACATTCAGGATTTTGTTGCCTACCATATATGCCAATGTGATAAAGAAGAAATCAAAGCGTTTTTACAACCCCACTTGAAAAGTGGGAGGGTATACTGTAATCTATATGTCCGTCCGTCCGTCTGTCTGAACCACAGTCCGTCTGTCCGTCTGTTACACTTTAGGGTACTCATCTCTTATCCACAACTCCTCTTATACCACTGAGTGAATTTTAATGAAACTTTCACAGAATATTTATTACATATTGCCATTGTGCACCTTGTATTTAACTTATTGATTCGAGAGATATTTCAGGTTTCCCGGGCGCAGCAAAACATGGACTTTTTTTTATTATAACCATATGAGAGGGGGTATCATTTAGTGAGCTCATTGCTCACAGTACCTCTAGTTTTTAATTCATAATGAATGTGTCATAAATAAAATCAATATGTCAAATAATTATAAATTTGTCAAAACGTAAGTTAACGTACATTAAGTTTCACCTTCAGGACACACGCAAAGTACCCTTCCTACTGATATTTTTTCAAGATATTTTTTTTATAAATCTTAGATTATAATGCCATCAGAAATCCATAAATAGAAATTAAGCATTCCTCACAAGGGTTTTTGAAAAGATAACAAAATATGAAAATGCTTGTATAATGCACTGAAAAATGAAAAAAAAAGCAAACATATTTTTAAGATGTTTTGTGCATCCAAACTTGGTTTTTAGAAGTGTACACTTCATTAAGCATATATAGGCAATTAAAATTTAGTTCCAGTAAGTCTTGGAACCATTAACCTACATTGCCCATGTCCTTAAATTTAGAAAATAAACCATCCCACTTTTGAAGTACTACGGAATTAAATAGCGTTTCGTTTCTAAAAAGATATTACAACATTGTAACATTGTTCGACTTTCAAGTGAAAATTGATTAATATACACTTGTCTCTTTTCATCGAGACTTATTAAAGAAGTTACGCTCTAACAATCAGTTTTAGAAGAGAAATAAGTCTGATTATAATATCATGATTTGCATTTAATATTTGAAATAATTCATCACCAGAAAAAAGAAAAGAGTACGATGCAGCTAATTTCAATCCCGTTTCATTTATACCTGTCGCCCATGTCGGGGAACCATTCCCTGTCTGAAGCCCTGGCCAATTTTAGAAACCATGCTTGAAATATTACGCAATATTTATCTTTAAAATATTTATTTGGACTACCAGATATTATATTTCTTTACAGTTTATCGTCAAAACAATATCTAAGTTAAATTGTTTAA